GTGTGGCGACTGCGCCGGCCGTTGTGTATTATTGAACGAGATGTCGAGAACAGCAAAGGGACATAGTGGGTAAAGGGAACAGGTGCGACGGAGCTAGTGACTGAGTCTTTTCTGAGTTTTTGCTGGACTGGAGAATCGTGTTGGTGCTGGCTCAGTGTAGTCTCGCTATTGAAGGAGCGATTGCATGCCTTTGGGTCAAAGGGTGCATGCTTTGATGAGTTTTTTTCATGTTGTTTGAGAGCTCTGTCGCTGCCGAAAGTACGGTTGCACAATATGCAAATGCTCATTGTGTGTCCAGTCGCAGTCTGTCAGAGAATTGCAGCTTACCGAGGTAGGATCGCGGCTACGTGGGAAGTGTCAACGATCGCTGAGTTCAGCTTATAAGACATGAATCGGAACGAGGTTAGTGTCTTGTGGAGGTCCTATGCTATTTTGGAACCAATGGTACAGTGACACATTACGCGCTGTGGCTGCATCTGCGGGTCGATCTCCCGGAAGTGCACGCATAAACTAATGCGGAGTGCGACAAGTTCAAACTGCGCCCCACCCACACCAAGGCTCACTCTTTACAAGCAGTGTGTCCATCAACCAAGTAAGTTATTTGCTTGACATCAGGGCGCTAGAGCACTACAGTGAGCCGGACTAAATTAGTTGGAACCTTAACCACCGACACGCGACACTGGCTAGTCACCTCAAGACAATCTGCTTACGTTAAAGCAACCGGTTGAACCGGCCGGTCCAGAGAGTCCACATTTGCTTGAGGCCCTGGTGTCAACCAAGTAACTTACTTGGTTGATGGACACACTGATTGCACTATGAGATCTACCTTGGGATATACTGGGCTCTGGAGCTCATGGGTTGTGGCAGTCTTCAGGGAAGCGGCTCTCTTGTTTAATTGCTTGGTGTGCACTCAAGTGCTAAGTTAACATCGGTCAGCGGGACAAGGAATAAAAAGGGCTGCCACGTTACATCCAGGAAAAGATGCACGCGTATATCATTCAACGTTTTTCCCAGAATTCTTTGCACGGCCACGAATCCACGGTTACAGGTATATCACGTCAGAATGAACAAAAATTCGCATCGGCTTTCCAATTCTCCAATTTGTTGTGCGTTGCATGGGACTTTTACAACCTCGCGTAAGCTCCTCCTGTCTTAATGTCTGTACTAATATCGCGCTTGAACTTCAAACGTCCCATCTCGAGAATTCAAGGGCGTAGCAACCGTCTCTAATGGTAGCTTGAAGTCCTTTGGGAATTAATACACGAAAAATAACATAGGTATTTTGTCGTACCCTCTACGGCGTTGGGGCCAAAAGCACGGCAGCACACGCAGCCTGACAAGTACCAAAGGCAGTATTGCAGGCAATGATGCTAGCGGGTGCGGAAGCGCCGAGAGTGGCTCCCCAAGTGAACCCGGCTGCAGAGTAACATGCCATAACTACTGCAGAACAACCCGCTTGACACAATCCATAGGCGGCTGGTCCCGCTGAAACTGGAATAGCAAGAGTGAGACCAATGGTACTGATCAAAAGTAATGAAAATGCCATGGTGTGAGCGTGATTATTGCGGTAAAAGCCGCAGTATAAACAAATGTAAGAGGCGATGGAGGAGTTGGTGGAGTTATCAAACCATCATCTTAGGTGAATAAATATCCTACTAGTATGTATTCCGTAATCAAGCAAGCATGCATGAGCCCGTACGCGGCTTCTCTCATTCTGCATCGACCTCAGTTCATCTACCACTGATATCCTTGGGAATTACATTAGTGCAAACACCAATGTATCATTTTCAACCACTCATGTCTTTCTCCGGAACGTCATATTGATCATGACATCAACACGATGTAAAGCGCAGAAAGCAAGACTGTTCCACTTCGGTCATCTCAACACGCTTGAGATGTGGCGACGGAGACGCAATAGCGCTACTGTACTGAGCATTTCTCGACATGCATTGCTAAGTAACGTGCAGTCGTAAGCTCATACCAGTCGTAGCGTGTTTAATGAAGCCAGCTTGTTAAGATAATGCTAAAATCTGTCATAAATCTGTTGCCAGCATGGATCGGCAGTAACGAGGAACAACATCAAGATCCACACATAGTAGAGATTTACCGGGCTACTGTGTCTGCGCACTCAACGTGTGGACTTACTGTATTTTGTTCATTGTCTCATCCCTAGTCGCATAGTCTAGCTATGCTCCATGCATTTGTTGACTACCCTAGGGTCTATACAATCTTCGAGCCCAATAGGCGATCATAAGCTCAACTTTACACTGCAAGTATAGCTCACGGATGCCCACAGATTGACTAAGTGGTATTGCATTGGCGATCCTCAGACCATGCATTGACATATGCATATGAAATGCTGTTGTGTAACTGTGGCTTGCCACAATGCTCCAGTGATACAGTCAGACTTGTCAACAATCAAGCTGAATACAAGCGCTTGATTGAGGCTTGATCGAAACTCCAAGCCGATCAAGCCAAGCTTCTGCCTAGCAATTTTGCAGTCAATCAAGCCTTCCTCCCTAAGGCTTGATTGATTGGCTTGATTGGCTTGATGTTTTAGCGCCAATGTTGGTGAGGCTATCTAGTTTGCCGTACGAGCGATCTCGCGATGCATTTCTAGTGTTGAGTTTCGCTTCGTCAGCTATACTTTAGCGCACAACCTTGATGTGATTATCTCCGTTCTAGAGCCGCTAAAGCCCACCTGTTCGCGTATACTGACGCGTTTTTTGGTGTTATACTTGCCTCTATCGTCGCTATGTCGCCTCCCCGACCCCCTAAACGTCCGCATAAAAACGCTTTTACACCAAATAAGCGCGCCAAAGTCGCTGCTCGCGGCACTAAGTCGCAGCCTTTCAACATCGATGAGAGCCACCAGCTACCTCAGCGTCTTTCACCACGCAAAGCCCTAGCGATTGCCGCGTCTCAGGCTACCGAGCCGCCCACGTTCGAGTCGCAGTTTCGCGAGAGTCAGCCTGAAGCCGCTATTGTAGCGCCAACCGAAGGCAGCAGCGCCGCGACAGTTGCTATAACTGAGGAGGACGAGGACAGTAGTGAGGACTGCAACAAGGGTCTTGATGAGCGCTTTGCCGACAACTTTGATGGCATAGATTGGGCGCGCTTGCCGCTATATTGCAAGCCTGTAGCTACCCAGAAACAGCGCAAAAGCTGGGTATACCGCTACGGCTATCGCGTTGCGCTTATTAAGGACCCCGATCGTCTTTTCTTTGTCTGTCGCTATTGCCACCAGCACAAGTGGATAGACGCAGGGCAAGGTGGTATATACGAAACAACGCTCTCAACGTCAACCTCAGCACGCCATCTCGAGCAGCTCAGACGCGGCCACAGCCTCGCAGCTCCTGGTAAAGTGCACAGCGCTACGAAGGCAGGCAAGGGTGGCCTACGCGCTATCTTGAAAGCTACCACTGCTAAGGTATCGCAAGGTATCGCCAACGAGCTTGGAGGCTTTGATTGTCAGGCCTTTCGACATACCGCAGTCGCCTGGCTCGTAGACGGTAACCACCCGCTCTCTGAGTTTGAGAAGCCTGCGTTTCGACAGATGCTTGAAGCTGCAAACCCAGAGGCAGCTGCAGCGTTGTGGACGTCTCACGCAAGCGTTTCGCGGTACGTGATGCGTCGTTTTGACTTCATGCTGCCCCAGGTGGTCGCTGATCTGTCAAAGTCGCTTAGTAAGATCCATATCAGCTTTGACGGTTGGACGACGAAGGGCGGTAAGCGCGGCTTCTTAGGCGTTGTTACGCACTACGTTAACAGCGCTGGCGACCTTGTAGACCTCCCTATCGCGTTACCTCAGCTAACAGGCGCCCATACTGGCGAGAAAATTGCTGAAATTATTAGCAAAACTCTGCAGCAGTTTGGTATTAACTCGCGTACTATTGGCTACTTTATGCTTGACAACGCTACTAATAACGACGCTGCTGTCCTTAGGATTGCGGAGCAGATGGGCTTGAATGCCACCCATCGTCGCCTCCGCTGCGGTGCTCATACTCTTAACCTAATCGGCCAGGCGTTGCTTTGGGGCAACAACAACGACGCGTACGACAACGATAGCAGCGAGGCTGCTGTTAAGAGCGAGCTATTACGCAACTGGCGCGAGGATGGGCCACTTGGCGTGCTTCTCAGCGTGATTAACTACATCAAAACGCCGCAGCAGCTCGAGCTTTTCGAAACATTCCAGGGCCTAGCTAACAGTGAGCTGCCCGCTGATCAGCGCGAAATACTTGCTCCCGTTAAGCCAGTTGTTACTCGCTGGAACTCATATTATTCCGCCTTTGAGCGTGCTGTTAAGTTACAGCGCGCTGTTAACGCTTACGCTAATCATCATATACGTCGGATACGAGATGAGGACACGTACGCGATCAGCCGTGGTAGCAAGCTGCCTGAGGCTGCGACCTGGATGCGATCCGACGGCCTCACAGCTACTGACTGGGCGGTCGTTACTGAGTATATCGATGTGTTGAAGCCGCTGAAGTCTGCAACAAAGCGCCTTGAAGGACGTGGCAGAGACGCTGACGGTCGCGTTGGAGGTGGCCGTTACGGCGCTATCGCTGAGGTTATCCCAGTCTTTGAGTATATACTTACGAGTCCGTCGACTATAACGCGCACAACGAGGCGCCTGAAGACTATCTCTTGATTAATCTCCGCGCTGCTGTAAGGGTGCGATGGGTTGACCATAAGTGCAAGGTATAACAGTAATGAATTCGATAGAGAAGCTACACTACGCTTGCGCTGAGTCTATGTATCACGTAGTGCTAGGTTCGAGAAACTTCTAAGGGTCCGTGGAGCGCCGATGAAGCCCCGACAACGCTCCGAGGGTTGCAGCCTATCCCAACCAGCTATAACGAAGGCCACAGGCCAAGTACTACTAACCAAGGCTTCAGCCTCTTACAATTAGGACGGAAGGGTATTGAATGGCGAGCGTAGAAGAGCAGGAAGGCATCGAAGAGCAGGCGGCGATGATCTCCGGCTCCATGAAAAAAGAAATGGCAGACGCCGAATTTCAAAGTAAGCGCTCCTATTAGTGAACAGGAGGCGGATGTTGACCTGGAAGGAAGTATAGACGCAGCGCCATGGAAGGAGCCCAGCACGATACCAACGAAGTATCTTACACGGAGATACAGTGCCACGCCAAAAGTCTGTACGCCCGCAACGCACGGGCTACGAACGCAGAAAATCTCACACATTTCAACTCAACGCAACTTCACCAAAGTAGCTCCAAATAAAATTCTAAAACGACAGAAATAATCGCAATGTCCTTAATATTGTGTCTGGTAACCCCTGGCTTGGAAAACTGCGTTGATGCGTCGCGGCATGGACGTGATGAGGTCGCGCACCTGTTTCTCGGGTATGGCAGCTCACGCCTCCTTCAAGCCCAACTCAAACTCAGCCCACTCACTTTCTGAGTCTCCCATATTATCGAGGTGAGGCTTAAGCTTATAGGGTTGCTTTTTGAGAGCCCACCAAAGGTGTTCTATTGGGTTAAGATCGGGTGAGTATGGTGGCCAATCGATTGTATGAACTCCGTGAACCTCCAGCCACTCCCTCGAGCGATGAGCAGTGTGTATTGGTGCGTTATCCTGCATAAACAACTCGCCCGCGCTGTAGTTATCGCGTAGTCCTTCCTCGAGAGCCATAGTGTAACTAAGACTTGTGTAGCCGTTGCGCTTTGCTGATGCGTCGCGGGTCATGATTACTAGAGGACTACGCCCAATTCTACCCCTTGGAGTCATCCAAATCGAAGCCCAAACCATGCGAGCTGGTTGCTGGCTAGTCTCCTTCTCCTCCACCATCTCATGCCTCCACTTATCGGTTGGTAAACGCCAAACCCAGCGAGGATGGCGGCCAGAACCGCGCGCAATACTGCACTCATCGCTGAACTTGAGAGCTGTTCGATCCCAGTCGAATCCAGTCCATTGTAGAGCCCAGTCACGGCGAAGTTTAGCTGTAATTGCGTTGATTTTTGGCCTCCGGGCGGCTCGTTACTTGGAGTAATTTGTACTTGCAAGAGCGCGGGCGATAGTTCGAAATGAAACTGGTGGTGTCGTCCCATCACCATTAAGGCCCGCGGCCGTACGGAGAGCGCTGTACTCGATTGTAGGATCTTTCTTTACGATGATAAGAAGCCGACGATGATCTCTACTACTTAAAATGGGTGGGCGGCCCATACGATCGTGCCTGGTGTGGTAGGTGGTCGATTTCCATCGCGCGACAATCTTCTGTACAGCGCGTTGTGTACAACCGAGCGTCTCACTAATTTTGCGCGTCGATACACCAGCGTCAACCTGGGCTAAGATATATATGCGTTGCGCTTCCGATAATTCACCGCTGGGCATTCGATTGCCCGAAATTTCAGTGCTAAAAGACCTCATATTGATGGAGTTGTGTGGTGTTGCAGAAGATACCTGTCTCGCAATCTCATGTTGTTGTGGAGCCCGTGCGCTTAACGCGAACACACTTATGACTTAGTACTGTATTTAAGAAAAATACCGTTGGTGCCAATGGAGTACCAAGGCAGTTGTCGACGATGCGAGGCGGAGTGGTACACATGTAGGATGCTGACACTCGGCGATGATATAGAGGTTCGTAGCGCGGCAGACATAGCGAGATTGATTGGTCGATGCTTAACCGGCTGATCAAGCTTTGCCACTTTCGCCACCAACCGGCTACGTCATTTCTCCGCAACAATTCGTCATAAGAAGCTGTGAGCGCTGCACCCTCTAGGCTGCTGGCTACAATCATACACTGTGCGCAATATTATCGTCACAGCCCCGCTCTCACGTACCAGCTTCCACTTGCGCCCCGGTATCTGCTTCTATGGAACCATTACGCGAGCTCCGCCCAGCCGACTCAAGCCACCTCTAAAGGAGCTTGCCATCAATGGAGAGCAGCAGCGGCCCAGGCGCTAAAGTAGCTATCCCTCGGCTCAGGCGGCCTGACCAGCAGACTGTCCCTCCGAAGCCTCCCCGTATTCGTCCCGACATAGTGAATAAGGCAGTAAGCACCGTATCTGCTATTAACCAGCAACATGACGCTAATCAGAGATGTAGTGCACTAGATGCCGGAAGCACAGTGGGTATAATCTCTAAACCAATCCTTCCGTCCCGACCTACCAGTTGCTTCGTGTGGACATATTGTGCGAGCTAACATGTGCAGAAACGAAATGCTCTGGCACCAGGCCGCGCTGCATCGTCTGTGGGACGCAGAATTTGGAATGTCCTTATGACGAAGAGCGCAGGGATCGCTTGAGAGAGTTTGTTGATCTAATCATTCTTATCTACGTTGTCTTATTTCGCACAGGGCGTTACAGAAGAACCAGACCTTGACCACGTTATTGAACGATATTAGCATCGATCTTGAGACAAGCAGGAAGAGAATCGAGGACACTCTCAATGATTTTGAGGACGACACGCCTCTTACGCCTGCCGTGCCGATAAAGTCAATTGGCAAACGACTGAGGCAAGCATCATCTTTTGATGAACAGGATGACAACAGCTCCAACTCCGGAGAAGCTCAGGTCGCAGCGTCAGTTGGTTCCATCGAAGAACTAGATTTTTTAGAGGAAGATCAACTACAAAACGAAGACGAAAGTGAAACAGACTACATGGGCCGCAACTCTCAGGTCCAGTGGTTACGGAGCCTTCAGGGAAAACTAAGGCAGCCTGAAGAGGAGGGGTATGACTCGTGGAGGCAGCTAATGACGGCCAAAGAGGAGGACTTTGACCGCCTTGGCTTCAAGCTCGGTCACCGTCGCAAACTTCAGAGGGTGATAGCCACTATGGATGGCTACTCGCAGTCAGAACCTCTGCCATCCATGGAGTGAGAACTGCTCAGGTCAACTCCAATTTGGCAAGGGATATGCTGTCCTTCTCTGGTCGCCACAAGAGTCGGTCTGTGTTCCCAATGACCAAGGAAAGCAAGCAACCGCAAAAGTACTTGCATTCCGATGCGCATGGGCCGAAAAGAGCTATCACCTGGGCATTGAATAATTCCAGTTCTCCTCAAGATGCAATGCACAGCAAGCTATTACAGCCGTCAATCGAGGAAGGGCATCTGGCCGAATCGTCAGAGTCTATCAAGGTAAGACATTTAGTTGTTAGTATTGATGCTGTGATCAAGCCTAATTTGCCAATACTAGAACTTCTCGCCCGTTCGATGCGCGTTGCGAAGGAAGCGAAGAAGATCAGGCTAAAAATCGAGCTTCACCGCGCTTCATGACTTCCGCTAAAGCCCTAGATAGCGTCTTGAACGACGGCGAGGTGCATGCGAGAGCGGGTGTTATGTTTGATGTCTTCACTTTGGAAGGGACGCTGAAAAGTTCGAAGTCGGTGATGTCGGCGTAGGAACGGGCGTTTGAAGAGCGGGTCAGCGGGCTAGGGTTTGCGTGATTGTAGATAACTTTTGCGGATAGATGTTTTGATGTAACAAGCGAACCGGCCACCCCACTAAGATTGCGCAACTCTCTACTTTCAGCTGCAGTGTCTCAACAACACAACGGAGAAATACTCCCTTATGAGGATAGAGTTATCCTAGCTACTCAAGCAATAAAAGAAGACGCGTCCTTAAGTGAGCGACGCGCTGCAGCAATCTACAACGTTCGTCGAAGCACCCTCCATGACCGACGCGCCGGAACGACATCACGACGCGATTCCCAAGCTAACTCATTAAGGCTTACGAAGTACGAAGAGGACACGCTTGTTCAATGCATAAGAAAGCTAGATGCGCGAGGGTTTGCGCCTACGCTAGGTTATGTGCGCGAAATGGCTAACCAATTGCTTGCTGTACGCGGTGGTGGCCAGGTTGGCGAGAATGGACCAGCAACCTCGTCCGTCGCAAGCCTGAACTCAAATCGCGATTGGCTCGACAGCGCGATCGCCAGAGAGTTCTGTGCAGCGATGCAGCGGTTATTAGCCCCTGGTTTGACCTTGTACAGAACACAAAGAGGAAGTACGGCATCCTAGATGAAGATACGTACAACTTTGACGAGACTGGCTCTACTATATGTGTCGCAGGAAGCGTGAAGGTTGTTACTGCTTCAGAGAGACGCAATCGGCCTATAGGCGTTCAAACTGGCAATCGTGAGTGGGTTACGTTGATCGCAGGAGTCAACGCGAAGGGCTGGGCTATCCCACCCTTCTTTATCTTCAAAGCGAAGAACCACGACCGGTCCTGGTACTATGATATACCAAAAGACTGGCGTGTTGGGGTTAGCGACAACAGCTGGACCACTAATGAGCTTGGTTTAGCCTGGCTACAGCACTTTATCCAGCATACAGAGGCCCGTACGGCGGGTAGCCATCGGCTGCTTATTATTGATGGCCACGAGAGCCACAAGTCGCTTGCGTTCCAGGATCTTTGCGAGAACAGCAAGATTATTACCCTCTGCATGCCTCTACACTCGTCGTACATCCTGCAACCGCTTGATGTGGGGTGTTTTTCGCCGTTGAAGCGGGCGTATGGGAAAGAGATCAGGGGCTTGGCAACCAGTCACATCGACCATATCGACAAGAAGGCATTCCTAGCCTCCTTTAGGGAGGTATTTAGCGGCTCGTTTTCAAAGAAGAATATCTAGTCAAGCTTCTAAGCAACTGGTTTAGTTCCACACAGCCCAGAGGTTGTGTTATCGAAGCTTGAAGTAGAGCCTCGAACGCCGACACCACCTTTACTAGGGGCTGTTGAATGGAATCCTAAAACACCAAGCAACGCCCATGAGATAGAGGCTCAATCAACGCTTATTCGCGATCGGATTCGACAGCACAAGAGCTCTTCGCCTGCTTCTATCATTGAGATGCTTGATCAGCTGAAGAAAAGCGCCCAGATGATGGTGCATTCACAGTCGTTGCTGGCAGGCCAGGTCGCACGTTTTGAGAAGGCAAACAAGGCTGCGTCTGAGCGCAAACAACGCAAAAGGAAGCGGATACAGAAGGGCGGAGACCTATCAAAGGCGGAGGCAGATGAATTAGTTGCTGAAAAGGACGTTGAGGCACAACTGGAGGGGGGAAACGCGCGAAAGTAGGTCTCAAACAGGTGCAAGCAGAGGCGGCAAAAGGCACTGCAAAAGCTGTAGGGAGGTAGGACACAACTCGCGCACGTGCAAGAAAAATACTGTAGATACTGAGTAGTAATTTGATGTCTTTTACAATGCAATAGCTTGTTGTGGTGTTAGGTTATGTATATACAAAGGTACGCAACCTTGGTGGGGTGGCCGGTTCGCTTGCCGTTTACGTTAAGAAACTTTTATGCAGAATTTTCGGCGTGCACTGTTCAAGTTCGCCTAATGAAGCTGAATAATGCAGAGCAAGACTAGGCATCTGTTGAGGCTATAGATATGCTGATTGGAAGCATTCTGCCAGGGAACAGTTGTTTCTGGCGCTTCCTGCTGGCATACACCTTTCCAGTGCCCCACTAATCGCATGATGTTCCGTGCTATCAGTGTTTGACATGCAGGATACGGTGGTGACGTAGATGGACGCTCTGGCGCCTCTGACAGATTGTTAAAAGGTGACCCCGGGTATCCACAATCCTCTCTAACCGAATGTTATTCTAGGGCTTCCACTGCGTCCAATGCTTGCCTAGGATCTATTGTCTTACCTCTTTTCTCTTGTGCAGCGTATTTCATCAGTAGAGCCTTGCGATCCGTAGGTCTCCATTTCTATCTAGTAATAATAACGAGGCCGTTCATATCTTCCAATAGCGAGCCGCACGATGCAATCGGCCACATTTTGATGCCACTGTATCCCAGTCAATGCCTCAGTGAGCGCCTGGTGTGTCATGGCTCGATCCCGTAAATCAACATTAGGTTGATCTCAGGCCTGGAAATCATCCGAAAGGTTTCTCCACCCACCGCCAGACATCCTATGCGAACGGATCTTGAGCGAACAAAGCTTAAAGAGAGCCGTTCTTGTCCACAACTTCCGCGTCGGTGATTCGGGCCAATTTACCAGCTCTTACTAGTACTCCGAAGGAGGAGAAGTCATGGGGTTCTTGAGCCTGTTGTCTTGGGGAAGAAGCCTGGAAGGATCGATCGAGCGAGGACAGAGTCGGCTCGAGACTTTGCACTGGATGCAGTGAAGTCCGGAATGATTGTAGGTGTTTTACAAGCAGGCTGAAGATCCTACATCATCCGCGCGGTCATATACGCGGCCTCTCCCAAGTTAGAGTATCCTGCCTTCGTGAGTAATGGACGGTAGCCATGTAGACTCCTGAAACGGCCGTTTTAGGGATGAATTGATAACATCGTCGTACTGCAAAGTATAGGAGAGGGGGGAAGTGTAGTTGATGTGTTCCCAGGTTGATATATGAAGGACGAAGAGCGAATCGGGATACTAAAGTCCGAACTCCGCTCCAACGAGTCATGCGCCGCAGCAGTAGGGCGAAGATCATATAGTTCTTCTTGATGGAGAGCTGCAGACCCTAACGATGTTAACATAAGTGAGCCAGGATCCTCTGGGCAAGCGGAGTTCGATTCGTCACGAGAATGAATTGTTGGAGATGTTAATCTTGACGAGGAGGAATATCCAGAAAGCCGTAGAAGACTCACGGTTGGACTTAGTCTCTCCTGATCGTGCTCCGCCATGAAAGAATTCAGTTCCGCTAAGTTGGCCTCTTTCTTTGCCCGTCGGTCGCCGTATTCGTGGGTACTGCTTGGCGTCGAAGTCCTTGTGTGGGTTTCTGACCTGGAATGTATCCTTTCCGTACCTGTTACCCAATGTTAGTAAAACACCGACAACAAGAGGTTAACGCAACGAACTATTGTATGGTGCTGCGTGTTTCGCCTTGAACTCCTTCAGGTACTTTTGATAAGCATCGTATTTGGGAGATCCCTTGTACTCTGCTAATTCCGCGTGGTATTTCTCTTTTCCGGCCTTGGCCTGACATTGATAGACTTCTCGAGCTTCCGCTGGTAAAACTTGCCACCGTTCACCAACGAATTTCGCAATCTCTGTGAAAGATAATTCTTGGCCCTTCAAAGTCTCCCTTACATCTAACCTTTGTTAGTCCCACAACGTGTACAGGGAGGAAAAGCCACTAACGGTTGGCGAAAACTACATAGGCAGATAGAGGTCGCCCGGGTGCATGCTCGTCTGACTAAGTAAGGTTAGTAATACATCAATAGTTTGTCTGATCGTGACAAAGGACGTGAGAATGGCGTGCCTGGAAACACGGACCTTAGGGTGTCGCATGTACTTTCGTTTCATGCGAGCGATTGGAGGGCGGTAATTGTAAACCGGGCCGCGCGATTCCGCAATCGCCCGCTGAAGTTTCTGTTGATAGGTAGAATTAGCGTGGTGACATTGTCAAAAGCATTGCTGCACATACCCTTTGATGACCAATCTTTACATTGAGGGAGTTTCTACTGTATATGTAAATTTCCTTTCTGCTGAGCAATGCCACAGCGACTCACAAGTCTGATTCCGTTATATCTGACACCGTTTCCCAGGTATCGAAGCCTTCGGCCACAAGAACATCCAAATATTCTGACAGCCCTAATCGCTCCAATTCTTCTGCCAAGTCGGTCATAATAGAGCGTGCGTAGAGGTTGAAGATAATAGAAGTCAAGTACTATAATTGAAAGGTTAGTACGCTAGAGGAATGGCCAGTTAGTAGTCCCGGCTACGGTGATTAGATGGACCTAGTGGCCAGTCATGTATCTGGACACACACCCATCAACGGAAGGGAGGGACACGAAGGGGAAGCACTAGGTTCAAGTGTCAGCAAAGGGTGTTCGTGATTTCGGATACGCCACAGGGTTGAGAAGTATAACAACCGGCACTATAAGCAATTAAATCCGTCTAAACGGACGCGTCAGCGATAGCGACGACATCGTGAAGCGGTAGAAGAAATATTGTGACAAGAGGATATATCTTAGAGCCTGCTAGAATGATGAAAGGTAGGTAAAGTGCACAAGGGCACTGTTGATTAGACTAGAATGAGCGCACGTACCGTTGACTAAATGCCTCTAGGAGCGAACGAGCGAGCTGTAATCCTCAAAGAGGCTAGGAAACAGCAGGCGTTTTCAGAGACAAGCGCAGGCAGGTTCACCCAAAGATTGCCGGTGAATTGGCTGACTGAGAGTAAGTCGGCGTCTGGTGTGCTCCATGCAGCCCCAAGCTGGTGGAGCGAAATGGGTAGGAAAATGATTTGGCGGCATTCTGCTAGACCAGATATGTCCGACCCTCTTATACGTTGACATCTCAGCCACCAGACTTGTCAACAATCAAGCCAATCAATCCGATCTAACTACATTTAGTAAGATCTTAACCTCCGCGAGTTAGTTGATTACCATATCAGATTAGACCGGCTTGATTGGCTTGATTGTTGACAAGTCTGTTAGCCACGAGATCGAGATCTTAAATAGGATACTGTGGTAGGCCTAGCTGCGCATTGTGAGCCCCAATCGACTATTCATGGCGTGGAAGATAGGGATAAATGATTGGGTTACCCACATGCGAATGGAGTGGCGGTGGCGGTGGAAGCTGTGCGGATTGATGGGGTACGTTAGTCGATTGCAAGCGAGGAGGTTTCTCGGATGGATGGGAGGCTGCGTGGCTGTGTGGGTTGGCTCATTCGGTGGGGCAACACGGTAGGGGTCCGAGCTTACCTAGTTTCTTACGTAACGAATTTCGTAACGAAGGAGTCCTTCGCTACAGAGTGTGGGAGGTAACTTGAATCGAAAACACGACAACAGCGAGAATTTCACTTTTTGGAATTAACGTAGTACAACGCGCGCAAAACGTCCGCTAGAGACGGCTTTCGACTAGCCAGCACTCAGAAGTAGCGCCCACTGCTGCTGAGGCGCCATGGCGACACCGTGGCCCCGAAGGTCGACCTGGCCGATCCCAATAGACGAGCATGCTACCAACCTCAGCGCTTTCCTTCGCGAGGTGCTATCCTTGATCGAGCGCAACGGAGGCCAGCAGCCTCTGCCGGCAGACATCGTTGGCGACATCATTCGCGGCGCATTGACGTTCGTACTGAAGACGCAGCACTCCCCTGACCTCGGTGGTCTCAGCGACGCGCTCAACGTCGCGCGGACCGAGGCAAGAGCGACAGCAGAAAGCACGGCGCGAACCCTCGACCAAATCAAACAAGAACTCAAGTCCACCGTAGAAATCGTACAACAGTCCGCAACAAAGATACAACAAAATGGCAACATGGCAGAAGAGGCGAGGGCGGCAGCCAAGGACGCCACAGAGGTGGGTAAAGCGACGCTGGAGATTGCGCGAGAGATCAGGAACAAGAGACCACAAGAGCAGGCGAACGGACCAATGAGCTACGCTGCGGCGGCAGCCAGGGGAGTCCCGTTAGCAGGTACATACAATGCACAAAGTGTCAAACAGCCATCTGCGCAGACGCAGCGTGAGGTCATCATGAATATTAGAGACCCCCTTACCGTACAGAGCCTGAGGACTATGAATCCTAGCAACCTCAAAATGCATGTCCAGCGTGCCATCGAGCAAAGTGGCAATGAAAACATAGTCAACGTGAAGATCGTCTCATCTAACCAGCTGAAGAGCGGAGACCTGAGCATCAAGACAGCAAGCAGCAGGGAAGTCGAGGCGCTACGACAGTTCGCGGACGACTGGGCCCACCGCATAGGCAGTGGGACTACAGTGCAGATCCCGACGTTTGGCGTCCTCGCACACGGCATACGCACGAGCACGATGGACATGAGCAAGCTCGACAAGATCAGAGCGCAGATACTGCAGGACAACCGACCGTTCATACCCCGGGCCGAGATAAGACACATAGGCTGGCTTACTAGAGATGCTACCACCAAGACGGCGACAACTATCACCATCGAGTTCACCAAACCAGAGGACGCCAACAAGATCATCGACGAGGGTCTGATCTGGCAAGGTGAGGTTTTCCAGTGCGAGCGATACGAGCGACAGTGCCGAGTGAAGCAGTGCTTCAAGTGCCAAAGATACGGCCACATAGGAACCCAGTGCAAGGCAGCAACAGCATGTGGCCACTGTGCGCAGAGCGACACGAGACTGCCCATCGAGGGCTGGACAAGCCGTGACCAGGAAATGTGCCGCCTGCCGCGGCGAGCACGAAGCGTGGAGCCGCCAGTGCCCGACCAGGAAAGACGAGATAGCCAAGGCAAGGACCGCGTACGAGATGCGACCGCGCTACCACCCCGTTTCGCAAACAGCCGGACAAAACGTGCAGATTGATATCCCGACGTCTACGATTCAAAGGAGAAGGACTAGTCAACCAGTGGCAGCTACGCAGCCGATGCAGCTTACCAGGAACCGATCGCAAACCGGACGAGGACAGAAGAGAACCAACGCTGGAACCACTATCGACCCGTTGGATCAGGAAAATCCATCAACGCAAGCAAACGCGAGCCAAAGACCGCATCGACAGATCATACCTAGCAGGAGAGCTCTAGAATCGACTAGACTCAACACCCGGGCGATGCAGAACAACAGCAGTCACCACATGGAGATCGACTCCGACGATGATGCATGAATAAGCACAACACACTAAGCATACTACAGTACAACGTGCACAAATCAAGAAACATGGTGATGGCGAGCATGCTGCGGGACCCCAGGATCCATGAGTACGACATTCTGGCCATCCAGGAGCCATGGAGAAACCCCTTCGCGGCGACGACACACCATCCAGCGAAACTCGTCTTCCACCTTTGCTGCCCAGCAGGAAACGAGGCAGGACCCGCCCGGGTATGCTTTTTCATCAACAAGAGATTAGACCACAAGAAGTGGCAGTTTAAGGAGCACAGCAGAGACATCTGCTCGCTTACAGTAGAGTTTGGCGACGATCAACAGGAGGAGCAAAACGTGATCATACACAACGTCTATAACCCAGCGAGGCGCAGCGAGAGCGACAGTACCGTACTAGTGGATGTCCGCACAATACTGCACGACAACCAATCCAGCGAGCAGATCCTGCTCGGCGACTTTAACTTGCACCACCCCATGTGGGGAGGCACAGGCGTGAGGCACATCGACCCTGAGTCTGCAGACCTACTGGCGATCATGGAGGACTTCAACCTGGGTAGCACACTACCACCTGGAACCATCACGTACGAAGAAAGAACCTCACGCACAACCATTGATCTTTGTCTGGTGACCGTGGGGTTGGTCGATCGGGTGGTTCGAAGCCAGGTCGACCGGGACCTCGATCACGACTCCGACCACCTGCCCATCAGCACTGTGATAGATATGAGGATACAGCAACTCGATGCAACACCAAAGCGAGACTGGAAACGATTAGATGAGGCCGTCTATAACAAAGCGTTAAAACAAGCCCTGCCGCCACTTCGCAGACCCGCAAATAAGACAGCGCTTGACACGTATGTCCAAGAGATCGTTGGGGCAATTCAAGGGGCCATTGACAAAGCAATACCATACTTACGGCCGTCAGACCGCATCAGGGGAAAGGGTGGTCGGAAGAGTGCAGAGCAGTGCTCGCAGAAGCAAGAGACTCAAGAGAGTACACAGCCAGCGTCACACAGGCGAGTCGTGGGAGGCCTATCGTGCGGCAAGAAACCACAAAGCGAGAACGATCAAGAAAGCACTAAGAAACGCTCACAGAGAACAGGTAGAGCAGGCCGCGAAGTCGCCAGAAGCACTGTGGAGACTCGTCAAATGGGCGAAGACGAGAGAGAACCCGGCCCCTGTGGTCACACCTGCCATCCAACACCCAGAGACACAGCAGGAGGTAACAGATCCGGCGAAGAAAGCAGACATCTTCCGAGACACCTTCTTCCCAGTACCACCGGAGGCAGATCTGGAGGACATAAGACGCAACTACGACAATCAGGTGAACATGCCGCCAGTGACAGAGAAAGAGGTGAGAGATGCCATACGGGCAGCATCACCACTCAAAGCACCAGGTCCGGATGGCATCATCAACAAAGCCCTGCAGGCGGGATTAGCCCAGCTTGCAACTCACCTGACGAGGATCTTCAACCAGAGCCTGCACCTAGGATACTGCCCGGCCCACTTTCGCGAGTCGACTACGGTCGTCTTACGCAAGCCGGGCAAAGACGACTACACAGCACCGAAGTCGTACAGGCCCATCGCATTGATGAACACCACAGGCAGAATCATGGACGCAGTCATAGCACGGCGACTCAGCTACCTAGCCGAGACCTATCCCTCCTACCGCCGACACATGGGCGGCAGGAAGATGCGCTCGACTGAGCACGCTCTTCACGCCGTGACCCATAAGATATACGAAGCATGGAGCCACAACACTGGACGGGTGGCGAGTCTCTTGCTGCTCGATGTCTCCGGAGCCTTCGATAACGTCTCACACACGCATGCTTCACGATCTGCGGAAGAGACGAGTAGACGAGAAAACAGTAAAGTGGATCGCAAGCTTCCTCAGCAACAGACACACCAGCATCGCAATCGACGGCTTCCGGTCGATAGCATACCAGATCAACACGGGTATACCCCAGGGCTCGCCGCTATCGCCTATCCTCTACCTCTTCTACAACGCCGATCTGATAGATGAATGCAACCAAGCGCCAGACGCCATGT